ACATAAATCTTGTCCTTCTTACATGGAGCAGGATTTGCCCCTGGAGGCCACACTCAAAACAACTAACACTATTTCAGCTGTAACAATAAACACTAATTTTCATGATAAACTGTTTTCCATCTGCAGTTTTTTTTGAAGTTTTAGACATTCAGGTGTAATGAAGGAAGAAGGAAGCATCTGCTAGGGAACACTGCAACCTGAGGAAATAACACATCACAACGGCCATCACGGCTCCACACTGTGAGTTTCATATGGGGTGCCTGGACACGCTGGGAGGAGAAACCTGAGACACCAAATATTACTGTGTACCTTCATCTGTTTATAATACAGAGGCAATCTCTACAATGGCAAGCTCAAATCAGCATTTGGGTATGCAAATGCACTTACAGCAACCAGTGCATAAAAGAGACACATGGAGAGTAGCTGAAAAAAAAAAAAAAAAAAAAAAAAAAAAACACAACAACAAAAAAAAACCACAACTAACCAACAAAACCCACAAAACAAAACCAAACACACACAACTGAGTTTAGGGCATTGACTTTCTTACATAGAATGAACAGCAAAAAAAAAACAAACCCACATCAAAATCAAACAAGCTCACATAGACCTAAATCTTTCGCTAATTTTGTCAGCCTAGAAAGGCCTCTATAAGGACACAGATTATGAACTTTAATAGGCTTAGCCTAGGAATACTGAGTTGAGATTTGCTTCACTTTGGTTCAAATACGGCAGCAGTTATTATGGGCACTGCTACAACATCCCCTTCTAGTCCGATACATCTATAAATCATGCAATACCCAAGCTCTTTGTCTAGGAAAGAAGAGAAATACTTGGATTCCTTCTTCCCACCAAAAGGGAGGAAGAAATCTTCCAGAATGCCCACTACTGACTAAGCAAAATAAATGCCATGACAGCCTGCAGCTCTCTTCGCTCTAGCATGTTTCTTAGTTACAATTTTTGAAGGAAAAGGATATGTCTGTATTAGCAAGTAGTCGAGCTCAAACTGACAGAGACAAGTAGAGCAAAACGGTGCTGAGAACCCCGAACCCACCCATCCACACACACTGCAAAGGCTTCACTTCAGCTCTAGTCAGGAGGCCAGGGGTGAAAAGCCCATTAGCAGCTGAAGTGCACACGGTAAGCTCCTGAAACAGCTATTGTGGCTTAGGCTCATCCAAAATGAAACCGGTCTGCGCGGTCACCCCGTAACGCAAACCAAAGCACAGTAAGTGGGGATGGCCCGACTGCAAGATTCCCTTCCACAGTGCACTCCAGCACTAAGATGCCAGCATACATGGACCCAAGGGTAACAATAAAGAGTTCACTGACAGAAAATTATAATTCAGCATGCATGAACTGTATGCAGGATGCCACAACCTGGTTAAAGCCAGTATTGCTACTTCGGGTATATATAACCACAATAATATTTATCGTCCTTCTGCTCTTTGAGTACTAAGTCTGTTATTTTCTTACACAAAATAGATCTGGTAAGACACCAGTGTCTTCTGCGAGGACAACCTTGCAGAGATCTCCAACCACATGGGCCCGGCTGCCCCGATGTAATTCAGACAACGATCAAACCGCATGTTCCATGTTGCATTTCATTTACTCATAACGGAGCGAGGGGGAACACCACGAGACCTTGCAGGATCTCACACCTCAAGACAGCATGAAGGGAACTGTTCAAAAAGCATTCGGTAGATGACTGTCTTTGTTCAGACTTACTTGTCCCACTAATGATTTTGGTTTTTGAACAGAAGTCTAACCGAGAAAGGACAATTGAAACTTGTTATAAAACACTGAGCACATCACCACCAGAATATGGCTTACAAATAAGATTCCTGATCATTTTTTCATACCCGTGCTGCTCCCCAGACCCTGTATTGAGGCATCAATTCTAATTATGCACAATCTAAGGTTGTTATAAGGTGGGCTTTGTGCTAGCAAAAAAAAAAAAAAAATGATCTTTAACAAAACAGAATTTCTACTTTACTGGACAAATATACCAAAAGAAATTGTGGCATCTCAGTGGGTTGCTAAGCAACCAAGAGCTCCAGTGTCACTTGTTTGTGATCAATTCAAGTCATTCATCTGGCTCTGAAGCACCAGCTCAGGAATTCCAACAAATCTGCGCCTTGGGAAAGCCACCGGGACTTCCTGCCACACAATAACACTTTCTTTCCTCCAAGATAAACTTTGTAGATGTTCTTTTGATCTCTGTGCTATGTTAATTCATTATTCTTAACATAGTGCTAATGGAAAAAGCTATAATTAACTAACTACAGCATTGTAACGCATGCAAGATAAACTGAACTAATTAGTAGTGTTTAAAGTAGTCCCTGTCCTCTCCCACTGGGGAAAGGAGTGGATCCTTATCATGGAAGCAACTGTCCACAACATCGTTTTACGTATAGCTACTTCTTATTTTTTCCTTCCAAACGTGATAAAGTAGATTTTTATTGGCAAACAAGATGGCTACAGTCCAAGCCACTCGAGGTACACATACATGTTGTGAATAATGTAATCTTTCGTTTAACTGAAGTCTTATCTGCTGAGTTTCTTGGGATAAAGAAGTAGACCGTTATATTTCCATTCATCAAGTTTAATTACTGAAGCAACACATACTAAATATCCATAATAATCATATTCACTCACACTGTGAGTTAAATGTAATCAAGGTGTATATAGCTGAAGTACAGACTCTTTATTTCAGCCTCAGATTCAGAATTCATTTTATTCCTATTTTGATAAAAGTCAATAATAAATTGCAAGAGTTTAGAGAATGAACTGGTTTAAAAGCTGTGTTGCATATGGTGAAACTTCTAACTCTAGGATGGCTGACAGGTTTTTTTTTTTTAGTAAAGATATTTAATGATACTTGCACATATATTGTGCAATATTCCTGAAGGAACTCCATTACCTCCTACACTCCTTGGTATATTATCTTTTGCATCTTATTTTAATATAGCATAGCCTGGTCCTGTAGTTCATCTGTAAGCCATTCTCCAGTGAGAGCAGAAGCTCGGCCTAAGACCACAGAAACTGGCTAACAAGAATTTTCTAATTTTTAATGACCCTTTGGGAGAGGTGTTTTTTGGCTTGGTTTTATTTTTTTGAAAGATGAAGAAAATTCATTACTTAAGCAACAGTGTTAACACAGCAGTAGTCATGCACTCTAATACTTCACACCAGTAAAAGCCGAGCAGAGGATCACGTGCACAGCTCCAACAAGGCAACGTCGCACGTGTGTTCACAAATGGGAAAAAATTACATATTCATTTTAAGATGCACGTTTTACCCCACCTCCTTTCCTCAAACTTGTAACTAAACTCATAATATTTGTTATTTATTGGTTTAGGAATGCTATTTGGGAGAGCTACATAACAAGTATTTAAGTCACATCAAATGAGCCCTTGACAATCAAACAGAAATACCACCTGTCAGGTCTCTGATGAAATTTTCCAAAACATGTTTCAAGCAAAACTACTTCTAGGTAGCACTGAGAATTAATTTACTTGCTTTCTGTCTGTTAAGTTATGGTATGTTATCCAACAGATCATAGCTGAGCTCCTTTCTACCCCAAAATAAGCAGCAAAGTAACATTAGTCATAGAAGTGAGAGATGAAAATTCTATTTACATTTGCGGTGCCCAACTCACAGAAAACAGAATCTCTTTGCATCGTGGAAAGCTAAACCTAGCTGAGACCACAGATGCTCTGAGCATGCAGCACAAATTCGTAACACACAGCACACGACACTGAGGTTTAAAGATTCTTACGCCTCTCCTGGAGTGCAACACAGTCACACTGCTTCCCCAGAAGAAAACAAAACAAAACAAAACAAACAAAAAAAAAAAAAAAAACAAACAAACAAAAAAAACCCCACAAACAAACAAAAAAAAACCAACACAAAAAAAACCCCAAAACACACACACACAAAACCTGCGGATTTTTATAATTAGGTATTTTCTAATAAGGTACTGCAAGAGGAAAAAAAAAAAAAAAAAGCTCTCCCAAATCATTAGGAAGGAAAGAAACAAGTGTTTGCACAGATGCATGACACCCGGGCTTGCAAACTTGAACCCACCTAAACCACGCGACTGAGCTCCCCTGCCTCCCACGGAGGCCCCCCCGGCTCTGTCCTTGCCCACGCAGAACCCCCCACACACACACCCCCGAGCCCCCCCGCCCCAGGGCTCCGCACCCTCCGGCAAACTTTCCGCGGGCAGCGGCCGCTCCGCCCTCCGCGCCCGGACCCGCTGCCGAGGCCGGGGGAGCCCCGGATCACCCTGGGGGCGGGGGGGGGGGGGTTGGGGGGACCGGACCTGCGCCCCGGGGACCCCCCCTCGCCCTCCAAGGGCTTCCCCCCCACACACACTCTCCGAGCCGCGGGCACTTGCTCGCCCCTCCGCGGGGCTGAGCGCAGCTCCGCTTGCGAATTGCTTTGCCGGGGGAAACGCGGAGCTGGCGGGGCGGGACAGGGAGGAGGGAAAAAAAAAGAGATTAAAAAAAAAAAAAAAAAAAAAAATTAAATGAAAGAGGTTTTGGGTAGAAAGGCAAGGCGGCGGCTGGGCACCCGCGGTCCCTGCACCCCCCCGGCAGCCCCGAGAGGAACACGGACCCCCCTCCCCGCACCCCCCCCGGGTTACCTTGAAGCCCGGCAGCGGGCGGGGGCCGGCGGCGGCGTCTCCACGGCCCCGTCCCAGCTCTGCAAATTAATCGCTCCACCCCCCCGCTTTAAAAAAAAAAAAAAAAAAAAAAAAAAAAAAAAGAGAAAAAAAGCAACACACAACCAAAACCAACCACCCCAAACCCAGCCCCGCTACACACCCACGAGAAGGAAGAGGGGTCCCTCCGTGACTGGCATCACTATCTCCTCCGGCAGAGCTTGCAGGGAGCCATGGCAACGAGCCCCCGCACCTCCCCAAACCGCTGCCCGCCTCCCCCGGGGGGGCCGAGCCGCCCCCCGCCCCGGCCCCGGCCGCTCTCGGCGGTTCCCACCTGCCCGATCCGCCGCCCCCTCGGCGGGAGCCGGGACCCAGCGGCGCCTCCGCCCCGCCGCGCTTCCCCGGGCGGCACCTGGGGATGGGGGGGGGGGGGGGAGGGACGACCCCCCAACCCGGCCCGGCCGCACCTCCCCTGCCCGCCCCCCCCCCCCCTCGGCAACGGGAGGGCTCCGGCGGGACGGGCAGGTTTGGGGGGGGGGGGTGCAGAGTTAGGTGAGCGCCCCCCCTGCCAGCCGAGAGCCAAGGCAGGGGAAAGATGAAGACACGTCCGAATTAGGGGGGGGGGGGGATGAACTTCCCACTGGCGAGACCCTCCGCAGCCCTCACTTCATCACGGAGGTGGGGGCAGCCAAAATCGGGTCAAGGAGGGGACATGAGCTGTCGGGGAACCGAGCGACCCCCCCCGCCCCCTCCACACACACACATACACACACACACACACACACACACACACAACCCCCCCGGCCCCATTTTACCCTTCTCTCGGGGTGCATTTCTTTTCAGAGGGAAGGGTGAGGCATCAGAAAAGCTGGGATGGGGATGGTCCTCCCCGCCCCGTCCGCCTCTGCTCTCCCTCTTGCTAAAAACCCTCCCCATGCAGTCCTCATCGCAACACCCAGGGGGTTATGTATGCAAACCTTTGAAAACCTATCTTCTCCTCGTTTTTTGCAAACGCTCCTCTTCCTAATTTTTTGCTGCATGTGCTCTACAGCACACACGACCACAAAACCAGATCAGGTTTGTGTGCAGGCTTGAACGCTCGGACTTTTTACTTCTGCAATCCCTTTGTGCAACGGGCTAAATTTTTAAGTGATTGGTAAAGACAGTCATCACAAATCTGCCAGTCATTTCCTTAAGCACTCCATCCAGAGACTCTGTGGACGTGGTGAAGGTCACACATAATTATTTTCATAGGGACTGGGACTTCTCAGACAATTTTCTGTCTTGCTGATGACCTTTGGGTCTTTTCTCTGAGCTTTGTCTAATGCAATGAACAATAATCATAAAGAAACATTCACGGACATTAAACCATAAAACCGCCCTACCGAATCACAGTTAGCACTCATGGGGATTATCATTTGAGTTAAAAGTTTTTTCGGACAGTTACAATCACAGTTTGTCGATGCACTGGCCAACTTGTGTTGTTCATCTCCAGTAGATTTAGGAAGGTGAGCTTGCTTTTTGGACAGGAAGTAAATAATTACATTTAAGGAAAGGTATTATAAAATAAAGATGGTAGTAAAAAAAAAAAATAATCTGAAATCTGGTAGGGAAAAGGGTAGAATAATTAAATATACTTATTCTGTGTTAAGAAAGCAAATGCAAAACTCTGTTAAAGCAATGTTATGCCTGATATTTGAGTCATGCAAATTCAGGCAATTCATAGATATAATTTTCATATTAAACTACATTTAAGTTGACTTGTGCCGGTATAAATGCCAACCTTCTCACCAAGTGCATGGAGAAAAGCTTCTATTATGTAAGGGAAGTGTGCTGGGGTGGCTTAGAAAGCTCTGACGCTGGGCAGCCGGGTTTCTGTGCAGCGGCGGCCCAGCCCAGAGCGCGCGGAAGGGGACGGGAGTTCTCCCTTTGAATCCTGCTCTCATAGCCAAATCCTGAATTGACTTACTGTTTCATCCAAAGACAGTGAAATGCTATATTTACAGCACATTGCTTTCCAAAGCAACCAAACAGCTAAGCAACAGGGCTGTGCCCCCATGCAGCGGAAATCTCTGAAAATAAATGGAAAAGGAGACAGCTGTAGAGGAATGCCTCGACCGTGTCAGGGCTGCCGATGCACTGAAAAGCTGTTGGACCCGATGTAAACGTGGCCATCAGAGATCGAGTCAAAATCCAGAGATGACTGGAGATTTACTGAAGCGTTGGCAAAGGCTGAAGGCGCCGAGGGTGGGAAGCTGCGTCCCGCTCGTCTGGGAGCCGAGATAACGGGGCTGGCCAGGGAGCGGGGGGGCTGGCATTGCCCCTCCTGCCACTGCCAAGAGGATGAAAAACAGGGGCGATGCCTCTTCCCCGCTTCTGGCCACCACCACCCTCCTCCCGGGATGCCTCAGCGGTACCAGGAGTTTCCAGGTTGATTTTTGCAGGGCTCTGACACAAAGAAGAGGGACGACAATTTAATTACCTCCAGTGACTGCTTGAGGCAGGACTGCTGCCAAAATCAACTTCCTAGGCTGCCCATACCTACACTGCTGCATCCACTATCCAGATACGCCGTGCCACAAACAGAAGGAAGCTGGGCTTGCAAAATGCAGCTGCCACATAGACTTGAAATTCCCTGCCTAGCTGGCCCAACTTTTAGATCATCTCTGGCAACACGATTTCCCCCCGGGTCTTCTCCCTTTTTCAGGTTTCAGGCCATGATATAGAAACCACTAACTGGTTGTAATTTTTCGACACAGAATCATGCAGAAAGTTTTCCTTCCACTAGGAAGCCAGCTGATGGAAAAGTCAAAGTATGTCAGTTTACCAAAATCTGCTCCACACTTCCAAAATAAAATGTGTCCATGTTCATAAGATATGACACTGATCACATCTATTTCCGAGACTAGGGTTTGCCTTAAGTGAAGTGTAAATAGAGATAATCCATTGTACTTCAGATTTCACTGAGTAATGAAACAGGGCAAATGTCATTGCACTTAAGTCTGCACAGAACAAAAATAAAGACAGAGAAGCACAGTTTGGTCCTCTCCGTGTCTCCACAGAACTGCTCTTTTTTTGGGATTTCCTGCTGAAAATCAAGGAACCTTTTCATCAAACCCACTACTCAATGTGAGAATGAGTACAACGTTGCTAGAAACATCAGAAAAATTCATGAAATCTCTCTAGGCTAGTGCGGATCACATATTTAAAATACACCTTAAATGTATGATAATGTCTCAAATCTAGTGTGAAAAAAAAAAAACCCTCAGAATGTTAACCTCAGGAATTATCGAAAGAAATCAGAAGGAATAGAGGGTGTGTTTGTGCCTATTGCAACTTTAGCTCATTACCTGCTTCACCAAACGTACTCCCTCAAGAAACACCTACTGTTTTAAAATCGGTTCCAGCCTGATAGGAGGCTGAGAAGATTTCCAGTCTTACTCTAAATGCTATTTAAGATACAAGAAACACTCAAGACAAAAAAAGAGATCGGCCAGATTTTCTTTAGAGAAAATTCATTTTGCTTGTAATTGCCAGCACATATCCCACTACCACAGCTCGTTAATAAAGATGATGTAATTTTTTAAATAGGTAGATATGCAAAAATGTGAATGTACTTGAATATCAAGAGCCACATTTTTATAAATATATATATTATATATATATATTTTTTTTAAATATGCTTCTGGGAATCCATTTTGGCCCTGGACTAATTAAATAGCTAAGATAGTTGACATCATGCCAACTAGCATTTATTCCATATCAAAATTTGTTTTGGAAATTATGTCCTGCTGCAACATCTCACAGTATTTTCATTAATTTTGGAATTTTTAGAATTTTTAAATTATACCAGCTGATATGTCTATTGAAAGGCACAAAGCTGTACTATAAACTTTGAGCTCATACGGAAGGATTTTAACTCTAAAGGGAAAAACATAGATGAGATAGCGAGTGATGCATATCCTACTAATGGTTTATTAAACATGTATCTGAGTATAAATCATCAGTGCTTAGCTTTGAAATGTTGAATGTTAGATGGTCTTGACCAGAGCAGAGAAGCTACAGATGTGCTAGAACATGCTCATCTATTATTTCATAATGAGAATACAGGAAAAATTCACATGATCAAAGGACAGCAAATTTAAAATTAATTAAAGAAACTACCACTTTTCGCAGTTTGAATCAATCCCAGGAATTTAGGCCTTGAAGAACCTGGAATGAAATGTTAGGATTTTTTTTTCTTAATATAATTTTTTAAAGGCTGGATAATTTTATGACTGCTAATAACATTTGTAACTATGCAAGCTAAGATAATAACAATGGTAATCAAATCTCATGCTTCAGGGCATAAATTGATTGCTTGAAGGGGCTATGGAGGTTTTTCTTTTTTTCCCACTACTGAGTACATGATTTCACAACTGACTAAGTGCATTACTAGGGGAGTTTGCTACTGCAGCTAGACAATTGATCTAATCCATAGGAACAAATATGACACCAAAATACAGTGAGCTGCCTATCTGCTTTGCAAACACTAATAGATTTAGGATCAAATTCAGTGAAATATTGAGTTCTCATTTTCCTGTTAGTTTCCTACATTTCGTTTGAAAGAAAGCAATAAGGTCTGGATTTAGGAAAACCAAACCAAACCAAAACAAAACAAACAAAAACAAACAAATAAAAAAAAAACAACAACAACAACAAAAAAAAAAAAAAAACACAAACCCAAAACCAAACAACCCCTCCACAAAACTTACAAGTACAAATTTCACAATGAATCTTAAAGACCCAAGTTAGGCAAGTGGGCTCCTCCATAGTTAAGTTCAGATCCAAAGATCAGCGTGAAAAACAATCAATTCTTAGAGTATCAACTCACCACACAGGCTGACCCATGCATCTCCTGTGGCCAGCTTATAAAATCTTGCTTTCGAAGACGACCATATGTTCCCATCAAAAAAAAAGAGGCTGTGGTCACTTTTCTTTGAAAAATAGGCACAGCAAGAGATGAGAGAGCTCAGCCTGGAGATGAGGATTCAGGATTAATTCCCAGCTGTACAAGAAAGCTCCACACAAGTTTGCACTCTGTTCCAGGACAGACAGACCAAGCTCTGTAGAACGTATTTCATCAAGCAGAAAGTACTTGAAGGTTCAACTGGACCCAACCTGGAGCAAAACTGAGCCTCACTGTTGTTATGGCATTTGTGGAAAGAAGGGTTGAGCGCCAGTGGTGCCACAAGTCTATTCATGCTTTTTCCTTCAAGCATTCACTAAAGATCCTAGAACCTGTTCAGAAAGCTTCTTTATGAATGAATATAACATGTAATATTTAAGAACAACTTTGTAGTTCGTCATCTTTGACATCATTGCCTGTTAAGTGAGACTTTTATCATTCCGGGTTTTAATTTGGGGTTGATTTTTGGCTTTGGTTTGTGGCTTTTTTTGTACTGCGCGATAGTGACATTCCCGGACACAGCACTTCAGAACTCCGTAGCACAGGTTTCAAGTACATACATGTACTATAAGTAGAGATCTAGTCTAGCTGGCCACGCC